TATATATATGTTCATGGCGGATAGTATTTGTATATCTGTATGTGCATGGGTATCCATTGTCTCAGTAGAAATATACCATCTTCATATAAACACAGAAATGAATATACACAAAACTTATATGAATATGAATATGTATCTGACATATTCAACGGAATGAAATCATTTCCAACAATATGGACACCTGAATGTGATATTCTTATTCTGCGTCGAAGTGCGGCATGCAAACAGTTTACGGAATTATTTGGCAAGAATACGGACAAGAGAAACCTGTTTGCGTTTACTTGCTACTACAAGTCTCACTCGCAATATGCTCCACATCCATGGCCACTGGTGCAGACAAATATACGAATTCGTTTGTTAACAAAGTTGCTATACTAAGTCTGATAAAGGGTTAGCCATACTAAAACTGATAAAGGGTTAATCATACTAAGACTGATAAAAGATTAACAATACCAAGACTGATAAAGAGTTGACCTTACTAAGACTGATAAAGGGTTGGCCATACTAAGACTGATAAAGAGTTGACCTTACTAAGACTGATAAAGGGTTAATCATACTAAGACTGATAAAGGATTAACCATACCAAGACTGATAAAGGGTTGACCATACTAAGACTGATAAAGAGTTGATCATACTAAGACTAATAAAGGGTTAGCCATACTAAGACTGATAAAGGGTTAATCATACCAAGACTGATAAAGGGTTAACCATACCAAGACTGATAACGGGTTAATCATACTAAGACTGATAAAGGATTAACCATACCAAGACTGATAACGGGTTAATCATACCAAGACTGATAAAGGCTTAACCCTGCTAAGACTGATAAATGGTTAACCATACTATGACTGATAAGGGTTTGGTAACCTTTAACCGCTGAGCTCTCGGGGTGGAGCTCTTGTCATGCATATCACCGGTCCTATCGTATCCAACATTTCAGTTGCCTGAGATGTTTCTTTATATAAATTTATTGCAAAGCTTGTCAGTGCCTGCGTGCACAGCACAGCATTAGACGACTACCGGACATATTCATCAATACATACGGATACATATACGCAGGTGGACGTATTACACTCCGCTGTGTACATGCATATGTTTAAATGTGTTCCATATTACATACCCAGGCAGTAAATGGAATTCGGATATTGGATATAGCAAGTCTCCCAGTGACACAGTCCGGGAAAGGCGTATTGTATATACACGCAATAAGGTATACGTATGTATATATGTCATACATATATACATACATACGTGCATATATATATGTACATGCATACAGCTATGCTCTATAGTTTGTAGCGCACATACATACGCCTGCGAGTATCTACGCAGAGTGCCCCCATCGTGTGTATCTCTCTCCGCACCCCACCATCTCCTCTCAGCTTTCTCACGCATGTAGCAAAAACCAGGTTCAACCAGTACATAAACCAAACCACGCGCTGTCTAGAGTAGAGTACACTGCTTCTTTTTCTTGCTGGTCTTGGGCGGCGATACCACCACCCTAATCGCCTCGTCAAAGACGTTCTTGAGACCTTTCTGTGTGAGAGCGCTGCACTCCAGGTAGCGTGCGGCCTTTATGTCCTTAGCCAATGCCTGGCCCTCGGCGGCTGTGATGGGTGACAGATTCTTTTCCTATAGGGGTGCGAGGCAGGGTAGGTAGGTATTAGACCCGGGATAGACAAGGTCACGGCAGTGGGTGGATTTCAATTTAGCTGGAGGTGACTGGTTTGTACTGATTCGTTCGAGCGAAGACGGTGTTTGGGTGTATATAATACCTGACCATCCACTGAGATCTGATAGTTGACTATATAAACTCTGGTGTGGGCAGACGATTTGGCAGCACCACAAAACTCCTCACACAGTGTGAGTTGTTGTACCTATTCGACGTGTGTTGTGTGTGATGTATGCGTTTAACAGGGCTCCGACAAGGGCACACTTGCAACGGCCTTGGTGACAGGGATCATATCACAAACAGGCTCGGGCGGATACTGTGGTACATAACTAGTATAACACTGAAGTCTTTATATATAGAAGTGCATGGCAGAAACTCGATAGTGCGCACCCCTGTAAAGAGGTTATGCGGCCGTCAGGCATATGGTATTTATAGCATCTTCTAATTAACCAAGTTAAGGATACGTACCGTGTGAACAGTCGCAGAAAGCCACACAGAATACTTGCAGCAAATGTATGAGTAAGACATGAGAGAGATATGAACATCACATTTATAATAGAATAGGGCCATCCTGGGCTAAGATACGCGGTATCAACGGTTTCGATAAGACCATAATACACGCACATCGGATGAGATTACACTACAGTTATTCTGAGTCATACTAGTATTTGGCCAGGCAAATAGTAGATATATCAGCACACCCACAGCAAACATACATACACTGGGCATACACATGCGCTTGTTTTCAAAATGTAGGAAGAACAATCCAAGGTATTCGTTATAGTACTAGATCACAACATTGATAACACTGACAGTTTGAAGACCTGTGTCCACAAACTACGAATTCTGATTTGGGAGCGAGAGTATAAAGACACCTTGGATATGCGAGCATTTACATTGGTACTGGTGTTGTTTGCTACTGAGTACATCGCATATTCTTGTTTGCATTCGATAGCCATACTACATCTCGATAAGGCATAATGCTCCACTGATAGGTACAAGATTTTAGCAAGGTATATCGTACAAGGCATATACATTATTCTCATATCTCCAGCAAAGTCCGATATGAAGCCTCATAGACCACTTGATGTGATAGAACTATCGAATGTATACAGTACGCAGCCTTTGTCACGAGCCGTTGTTGTCCTAGATAGCACGATCGAGCCAGAAAATGCAACATTTATGTCCCCCATATACTTCAAACATTTAATTCACTAGCAATATAGCACAAACACGGTCACTGATCACCATTTATCATCATCGATGCGAAACCATCAGATTATGAATATCCCAATATAAGCCTTGTATCAAGGTAGTAGGCCTCCCGTTAAATAATGTTGAGACATACCCTTAATTTAGCTAATACTTCCTGATCTTCGCGCAAATCCAACTTTGTCCCTACCAAGAGGAATGGCACATTCGGACAGTGATGCGAGATTTCGGGCAACCATTTAGTCTGCAATTCAAATATTAAATAAAGAATTGAATACTTGCTATATATAAATATTAAATAAAGAATTGAATATTTGTATAGTGTTGTAATTTGACCTGTGGTACCTTAAAGTACAAGCGTACTATGCACTTCTGAAGTTCAGAGAATATTTGGCAATTAACTGTAATGAGGACTCCAGCATATTCCGAACAGCTAGATTTTTTATTGCAACGAACGGTCGCTGTGCGGACATATACATGCATACTTAAATTCATAAATGAATATATACGTATACACACACATGCATACATACATCAACTAATAAATCAGTCTTAACCATACGTCCCACGTGATTGCACAGTACGTACTCAGACCAAGCTTTATAACCATGTTCTACGCTTGTACGCTTGTCATTCGCTTAATACAATATGACACTGCACTGCACATACCACCTACACTAGTGAGCCGCGTGATGATGAACGACCCAAAACTACAAATGACTTTTAAAACGTTTGTTTCGACTCGGTACATATTATTTCGGTGCCCTCCGAAGTTCGATGCGTATACATTGATACTTCATCGTATTAATAATATACCAAAGCGAACACAATCACTCGCGGGACATGCACACAAGCATCTCAACCTGTGTGCTCCTTATAGGTAGGCAGGGTTATAACACATACCTTGATGTTCTCGAATGATGATGGGGAGATCAGTGAGAAACAGGTGAGAAATACATCCGTCTGTGGGTACGATAGAGGACGCAGACGATCATAATCTTCCTGACCAGCGGTATCCCATAATCCCAAGTTGATAGGCTTACCATCCACCATCACATTAGCTGAGTAGTTATCGAACTGTGTTGTAGTACAGTAGCATTGGAATATCATTGAGATGTGTTATAGCGCGGTGTTCAAGATCACTAGGTACATATGTATAATGGTCCAAATATGTATAAATGATGCATCCGTCTCAAGACTAAACAATTGAAAAGAATTACAAAGCCCCAATTGTAGCGCTGCAAGACTTAAAAACAAGATTTCTTAGTGATGCGATGCCCGCATTGGTATGTCAGTACATAACAAATCATGCTAAATGCGTAATCTTTCTCAAACACAACTACTAAACACACAGCAGATAGCCTGACAATTGACTATATTACTGGCAGAGTACACCTATAAATCGTTACTTTGTTATATACATCTATAAAACGTTAGATTTTTTTTTTACTCACTTCTGTCACGAGCTTGGGTGAGGAACCCATTACATAGTTTTTGTACCACCAAAGGTAGATATTACAGTGGTTATTTGTAGGCGGACCAGTCTAATACTAACTAGATTTAAATACGAAATCAGCTTCTATAAGTATATTATATATGAACCTCATAACTAAAGCGAACAAAGTACACGAATTTTCATATGGCACAAGCAATATCATATGCGATACCATGGGTGACATACCACAGTGGGTATGTATTCTCCGGGGAACGCATTCGTAGTGTAACTGATCAGGAGACAGGTCTTTCCGACCGCACCGTCACCAACCACTACACACTTGATAGCCTGCATGTTATCTTTTTAAAGGATGTGTATATATGGTTGTATGAGAATGTTGCTGTTCGAATTAGTGACGAAGTGATCAGAGGTGGATAGTGTTTGTATCCGACTAGAAATGGTAGCCTAAAAGCGCGCGTGGTTATATTATAATAATAAAGAGAATTGTGTGTGTGAGAGGACGTGGGTGCCTTGCACATATAACGAAAGCACGCTACCTTAAGACGCGAAATAATATATTACGTTTAGCGGTAGCACTACTACCACAGACTACAGAGTGGTGGTGTAAACCATTCGTTATCAGCTCGGATCTTTCGCGCAACTCTTTGCTTTACAGTTTGCAACTGCGACTGATCAAATTAATATGCGACAGAGTGTGAAGTTCTTTGTTTTTAATGTTTCAGTGAGTGATTGGATTGAGTTTGTGCGGTTCTTTTGGCCAATAACCGGCCCATTATTTTACGACACTGATGATTTCTAGAAATACGGTTTGTCGTAATTTGTAATTAAAAGTTGACCACACAAGATTTAATATGTAGTACAATACAGAATACTGCTGTCGGTAGGTACAGGTACCCAAAAACACTTGTCCAATGGGGAAGATTTCTGTACGAATCAACCAATCATATATTATAGATTCTTTTAATGTTACTCCAATATTGGATCCTTATCGGACTTCTATCAATTCTCAGGTTCATAGGGACGCAGAGCCGCAGACCAGTATTATTGACGAATATTGTATTTGAGTATTTTATGAGAATAATATCATTATCCTTCCATTTTTCAGTAAATATATGAATAGCAACATAGAAATGTGACTCTTTCAGATATGCAATGCATATTTACCACACGGCACACACACCGCAGACAGTCCAGTTGGCCCACAAGTCCACGGCAATATGTGCTTTTGAAAGTGAAGCACCAAGCGATCGTTTTTTAGCAAATCAAGAAACACGCACTATTCAAAGTCATACCTCGACTTTTTACTTTTTATTGCTTTAAATATCGATATAACATATAGCTCGCCTAATTGTGTTAATAGATGAATGAACTGATAGGATAGTTGGGAAGCGAGAATGTTGCAAGGACCAGTATTATACGCCTCATATTCTCTAGTTGGTCTTTCGACGTTTGCCATGGTGCTTTATCTGATACCCTCACACTAAATATTTTGGCCGAGATTTTAGTCCTATGTACTCGTATCCTTGTTTGTTTACGCCCTGCAAGAACTATATGATTGTTGTACAGTTACAATCAACTCAATAGATATCCAATAGATCAGCGTTCTTGAATTTTGAGTGTCAGGATTTCGGTGGCTATATGCCAGGAATGAAAACCCATGATACTTTATACTACGAATATCACAGAGGTTCAGACAAATGACATATTAAGAGTATATATGCTTATGCATGCGGCAGACATTATCCAGGCTTGCATATTTATCTCACACCGCTTGAAACCGAAATTCGACCATGGCCCAAAATATAGCTCTATACTTCGATTGTGGATGATATTGAATTCGCCTTACCGCACCTGAACTTGAGTCGATCAATTGCGTGTTGTTAAAATTAACGTCGACAGACTACAATAGTTACGAGAGCATATAAAATGTTTGTCGGTATGGATATAAATTCTAGAATCTCAATGCGAAGAATGAATGCAAGTCTCTAATTCGTACGCATGTGAAATGAATAAATCAACTACACATGTGCTTTTTTTTATACAACTATAGGTCTCCGCATAACAAAATTGATGTTAACCTTCGAGTACTTGGGTCAATCGTGAACAACGTGAAAAACAACAGACTCTTGGCGACAGGTTGCCAGCCTATTCTAATTCGCCTTTAAAGATATAAATCAGCCAGATGAGGTGAACACATATACATATAATATCTTCGCTGGCCCATTCTGAAACTACGACAAAAACTTATTGTAGCTTACCCGTTTAATCTATCTGGAGATTGATTCGCTCTCTCAATCATCCCATCTAGATTGACTGGGTACCTCAGGTGCAGAATTGGTACAAAACCGGCTAAATCTTCGCTTGGGTATGAATCACAATTTCTCAAGCTTGACGGCTGTCTTCTCTTTCCTCTCCATGCGTCGTGAACTAGAACTTGTAAGTGCAGCATTGATACGTTGACTTTGGATAGTAGGCTAATTGGATCAGGATTGTGTATGACCCACAGATACATATGTGCCAAATAAAATAAATGCCGTTATAATCTTAATAAAAAATGTGCATCTCGAACACGTACGCCTCATGCACTCGTTCAAGCTGGAGGAACCATTTAAACCTGACGGCATATCTGATCATTTAAAAAACAAGAAAAAAATGGCATCGAAGCGATTATTGCCGATTTTTGAAAACTACCCGCACTATCGGCACTTTTCTGGATAATTTTCTTTTCGGGATGGCTTCAGTTTTTCTCGAATCGGATTGAGATATGATAGCTTAGAACGCTGTACGTTGCAAATCACATTTATTGAGAACATCTCCGCTATATGATAGAGGTCCACTAAAGATCGCATCGTCCTGGCCGTTAAAAGCCTACAGGTCTCGCGGTGCCCACGCGCACTTTACTCTTCCTGAGGACCCTTGGGTAGTGGTGACTTCCGCTTCTCAGGAAAGCTCTTCTTGTTCATGGGTGTAGGTATATCCTTAATCTTGTGTTCTCTAGACGAGGCTTTGTCCTTGAATATGGTGAATGCTGGGTCTGTTCGTCGTATTGCGGCCGTTTGTGCCATTATCTTTTTAGTGCAAGCCCAGCACAGAGCGTGTAAGAGCTGCGTGACGGGGAGTATACACGTTTGAATCATGATGAGACAATGCCAATAAAAAACCCCGAAACATGTGTTGATTTGGGTTGTTGGTTTGGGCTGTGCTCCAGTGAACCGAGGCTATCTCGGATGAGGTGGTGTCAACGAGGGCGAGGCAAAAGTTAGGTATGTTTGAACAACTGTATATATTATATACTGGACTAAATCCAATATGATCAACGAAACGCTTCCGAAATGATCGTGTCTGCCTGCCTCCTGTATAGGACACTAGTCTTGTGGGCATCACTGTACAGGTACATGACAGCTAGCGATACCAATTTATAACCACAGTGCGGGAGCGGTGCTGCAAAAGCAGATGAATCGTTGCATGGATTGTACACTACTGTGAGCGGAGTGAGCGCTATCTACGCGTCTACGTGCCTGTAACTAACCACTCTCGATACTTAAAATGGAACGAACTTTCCAAAATGAACCTCTGATGATACTGCAAGCGTGCAGATGTATAACACACGTACAACGCCACAAAGCCACACACACAGCGAATAGAACTCACAGACACACCTTCGCTCCACCGCATTTATGACATGTCGTTATGTTCTGTATGTTTTGCGGGAACTTATCGTGCTGTCGGACCCTACGACGAGATGGTGTGGTCTTTCTTTTGGGCACAGCCATAAGCATGAAGCCATCCGCCAGTACATCGCTCGCACTCAAAGACGGCTCCTGCTCTCCAACGAACGCCCCACTGTTGTGCACTAGGTCTAATTGGAGTTGGTCCTGATCATGGCCGACTCCTGACCATTGTCTGTGAGAAGGAAGATAAGATTTAGATAATGGTCAGAGTTTGACTAGGGGTATAACACATGAACTCAATGCACTACATCAAAGTATTGTTGACTACGTTGGAAGTGTAGTGAGCAAGTAGGTGCGTGACAAAACAAGAATATATATATATATATATATATGTATATGTGTGCATATGTATATATATATATATTAATATATATAGAATATATATTATATATATATATATATATATATATATATATATATATATATATATATATATATATATATATATATATATATATATATATATATATATATATATATATATATATATATATATATATATATATATGTGTGTGTGTGTGTGTGTATGTGTGTGTGTGTGCATATATGCATAAATATATTA